CCAAGTGACATGTCAGCCACTCAATATATTTCCCAGGCGATCTTCTTACCTGACCTGTGCGGCCGCTGTGCATAAAATTTACTAGCACTCTGAGAAAAGGACTGTGTACATATAATTTACTGTAAGCAGGACTACACAGGTGTCAAATGTGAGCAACGTGTCACCAGGAAATTGGCAAATGTAGGGATATACTTAGCTCCAAATTGACCATTTGGCATTGTGAGCATGAAATGTTACATGTAAGTCCTTAGGTTATGACTGCATCTAACGGCCCTTCATCACTGATTTAAACATTGCTACATGTACCTGTCACTTGTCAGACAAGTTAAGGCTTGGCAAAGCTTTGCCTGGCATGTACCGGTACATTAGCTAGCACTCCCTCACGGCCTTCTTTAGGGAACATTGCCTTTCAGGCACTAACACAACAGTGAGTAATTTATCAAATATTCACACCTATGAGTATGACTTCCAAATGTGCCCCAGCAAATGTCCTCAATGGTAAATTGAACAATTATGAAATCCAATTCTAAAAATCATTTACAGAATGCCAAACTCATTTATAATATTCTCAGTTGACATACCCGAGTGTCAAGCAAGACAATCGGTATTGAAGATCTATAAAGTGCATCCACCCCCGTACTAGTATTCCCACGTTACCATCAAAACATTTGTACGTTGTACATGGACATGGACACATGTACATGTACATGGACACATGTACATGGACAGTATGTACTTCTTACAAATATCTATAGGCATTTACAAAGTGCTAAGATATGATATATACATGAAGTATGCGTATCATGGCAGGTGTATCCATGTTACATGTATTTATGTAAGGTGAAAACACTTTTGTGTAAAATGGTACACTTTGCGTTTTATGAACTTTCATAAATATATTTTTTAGGCATGTGAATTATGTACATATGTACCATATGGTACGCAGATTAAGTATGGTTCAAATATAAGAGAGTATCCAGCCTATCCGGAAAAAGAAAGAACTGGTCGAAAAATCCATCAATTATAAGTTGTAACAAAAAATGGGGGAAAAAAGGAAAGTGCGTGTACACTATTTGCTGTGTGTTCGTCTGGAATTGTGTGAAAAGGCTGCATGTTGGGTAATCATCATTCCTGCCTCTCTTATGTGAAAGAGGTTATGAGCACCTGTACATGAAAGTAGAAATCTAATATATCTGCAATGTATAGATCGTAAATGTGTGCAGTGTACATGTTGCTACACTGTACAGACATGTACCAAACGTTATTTCACCAAGTATTTCAATTTTCAACGCTTCTAAGCACAGGAATTTTTTCTCAAACATAAACCATCCAATGCTATGATTGCATCCATTCCACTGAACTTTGCATTATTCATTGATACATGTAGGTCACTTTCCAACAGAGACGCTCCTGTCCAATCTGAGCAGTTCTCTGACCGAACACTCCAGCCAATGGTCACTCCGCCCAATGGTCAATCAAAGGAGTGACAAGCGGTAGAGTGTTTTGGTACTTGACAGCAGAAAATGGCATAACAGCAAGAGTGTTTCAGCTACAAGTACATCAGGTGTTCCGTCCTTCTCCGACATGAGTGATTTGAACCTTAAAGATCAAGCCCTTGCTTCAAATGTCACCTCCTTTTGGGCACTACATATCGCTTCCGTTTTGCTTCAACCCTTGTCCTTTCTCAAAGCATTGAACATTATGATCAGTTCAATAGACTTGGAGAGCTACACGTACACATGAACCTCATAAGTCAGAGCCAAAACATCTTTTTCTCTTTTCTGATTGATCAGGTCAGACATGTCCACTGACATACTCTGACTTCAAAATAGACAGGATTTTTCGCCAATTTGCTTTGTCTTTTTTTAACCAGTCTATCTGGCTACCAACAGCAAAAAATTTAAACACTTTGGTGAAACCACTGACTACATTTCAATTTTCATCAGGGCACAAAAGGTCCAGCAACCGTTCAATTTTGATAGAGCTGGAATTTTACAGACTTCATTGGTACAGAAAGTTGAAATGAGATGAGTGGATAACGAGGCATAAGTAACACTCAGCTTCCATTCATGCAATTCCTCAGGCGAATATTCATGCACATAATAATACGTACTGGTACATAGACACATTGTACGCTGACATGGGACATGTACATGTCTTTCGAATGAAATTTGCCAAAGTATAGAATTAAATTTTTCTCTCACCAAGCGTATCATTTAAATACAGGCACAGTGTATGTACAAGTCTTGTACAACATAACATACATGGACATTGTACCTGTATAGCCATTGTACCCCGAGCACCAATACCGGTACCATACTGGCACCTTCCATTTTGTGGCTGGAGACAAGTTTCAGTTTTCCAGGACCTTTCATCGGAGCATTTCAGCACTTTTTCTGCAGGTGGATTTGATCAGATAACAACCACACAGGTACAAGAGCACCTGTACCTATATCACACATGCAGGCTTTATAAAACCCTCCATGTGCTAGCTTGTTGAATTCATGGAACCAATAAAGTCCAGGCAGCAAATTTAGTTTACATGTATAATGAGTGCAAGCAAACCACCACATTATAGCCGTACATGTGCAGTACATGTACATAAGCTGAAGTGAAATTGCAAAATATTTTGGCATAATCAATGAACTGTGAAAACCAGCACGTACATGTAGTGTAATGCCTGAAATGTATGACTTCACAATCAACAAATTCCCCAAGGTGCGGGGGGGGGATTTCTACAATAAATGCAAACAATCATCACCAATGTCAAGAACAGAATTTGCTGCTTTACAAGGAATCCCGTTACATTTAACTAGTACTAAGGTGTGGCCATACATGTACAATATCTGACTGGAATAGTAACAGTCTATGCATGAATTTTGTTTGGATGAAATATGTACAGATTAATTGCTAATGCATTATGCAGAATGCATCAAGCCCTGTTTAAACCGCATACGATATAAACCTACCAGTACATGTACATGTACAAAATACCCTGTACTTTCTCAATTGTACATAGATTGACCTTTCTAGCAACTGTCTACAGAGGGCGCTACACAGACCTAAAAGGCAATGCCCACAGAGCACATAATGTACATGCACAATGTACAATGTAAGTGGCTGGTTTATTTTGTGACAGCTGATGCACGTTGTGTGTGTGGGTGGGGTGTGCTGGGGCAAACCACTTTTCCGAGGGAGGGGGAGGGAAGGATTTTCAGGTGGAAAAGCAACAAAGCACCCATCGGCTAAAAGCTCATACACATTTAACAGTGGCATGGGGTCAATTTTTAGGGGGGTTTTGGCAAAAGTAAACTGGTGTTACTTAATTACCCCCTTTCAACTCTATTTTTTCACTTATTTTATTGTTTCCTTTTTATTGTTCCAATTTTTTTCAGGGGGAGGTAGGGAGAAAGGTTCCCCTTGCAACGTAAAATGGAATTATCTGTGGTACATGGAAAATATTCCACGTTAATTCTATGATATTTCCTGAATGACCAAAGTCAACTTCATCATTGATGACATGTACATGTACATGTATGTGCAATTAGCATGATTTGAATATTCAATAGTTTCAATTATCCAACAGTGCCACTAAGGTACATGTACATGTACATATGTGCATATTATGAAGTCATGTTTACATACAGCAGCAGCATAGCAGATTCAATACATCAGGGGTGTCAGTGGCCACTTGATATCAAAGGTGAAAACGTAGCAAATAGCTTAATGTAAGAAGCCCCCATACAATTGTACACAGCAGGTGCACAAAAGAAGCTGAAATTGAGGGTCAACATCTAAACAAAAAAGCTGAAATCAGCTAAAAAGTTCACACCTCTGCTACATGTAGTATGCATTGCCTCTGTATACGCACATAATGTCCGTTTACATTAGTGCTAATACCAGTATGTACATGTAGATATACAATGCGTAAGTACCTGATTATTTGCCTTCCAAAATGATAGCACGATGAGTAATTGGTTCTCAACTAATTGGTTCATACACTTGCATTCACAACACGTTTAAACGTTGTCATTCACTAGACAGTAACAGAATTACCCACCAGCCCATCATGTATGACAGCGCCAAGGTGCAACGGGATGACCTTGGCTCTCCTGCAAATTTGCAATAAGAATTCCACTGTGCGCTGCTCGATGTTAGCTTTGTTTGTAGTATTTTGGAATTGAGTTAAGGATGATAGGGAGTTGTCAGTATGTTGCTTATTAACCCTAACTCCATAGGGTGTATGTAAAATTATATTGAAATTGGAGGATTTGGGACTGTTAGGGTTAACCTTCCTTTTGCTGTAACAGTCACAGTAAAAAATTCCTTCGACTTATTTTGCCACAGTACACAGAACCACTAATACGATATGTTGTGAACTTGAAGAGAGATGTAACACAGCTGATATGAACAATATTTGCTAGACTTAATGTGTCATCCTTCTTATCAAACAAAGAGAATTGGTATGAAGAAATAGGACGAAAGGACATCAAAAGTACAAACTTGTCCAGCAGGATGAAGTTGCTCTTTCATGTACCAGTATTATAACGCATCTGTTGTACTTTCACATTTAATATTAATCCAAGATGAAAAATTAAGTAAGTGTGCAGATGCTTTGAAACAAGGTTTCTTCAAGTGGCAAAGGTTTTTCCTGTTTAAAGGTTCAGGTAATTTCTTTGTATGCAGAATCTTACACTGATTTGGGGAAGCTTGGAGACTGAATGGGAGGAAAAGGCATTATGTTTTGGTTTTTTTTAAGAAGGAAGACGAAGAAGTAACTGCACTTTGTATATCATCTGCATTGCTTCTCAAATAAAATGATATTAACACAGGTTTGCTTTTGATAGATTCTAATGAATTCAGGACTGACAAACCCTTGTGTCATCATTTTTAAGGATTTGATGTCTAAATCAAATTAAGTCTAAGAACATACAAATGATTTTGGCTAAGTTTGTTGATAAATGGGGGGGATAGGGCTAATCTCAAAGAGCTCGTCTTACCTCGACTGGAGACACGGTAGACTGTGTGACGTAGCTCTGAATACTCTCCTTGGGCTGTGTAACATTTGAACCAACTACGGGAACCAACCGCGGGGCACCGTCTAAAGCTGGGGAATCCTCATCTGGAAAGTGGTATTGCTGCATTGGAAAAAACAAAAATAATATCCATCATCTGCAACGCTGTTTCCAGCAAAGTGTAAGAATGGACTGTCAGTGTGGTTGTCGTTCCTTATACAGGCTTGTTCAACACATGTACCCATGGCAATTCCGATGACCATTCGTTTGCTCCAAGCACATGACAGACCACCTTACCCCATTGTCTGCTTTTCTCCGGCTTCCTCTCTGCATTTCTTCTGTAACCAGTTTTTTCCACCCATTCCTAAAAAGAAACATTCTCTGCTATCCGATGACTCGATGGACCAACCTGAAATGACTAAATGGGGTTGGTTTCAGCGGCACCATCCAAGGACAAGGTGGGATTTCCAACAGCGTTTCTGTACGCATCCTTGGTTTTTATGACATTATGCAGTGGCATCTTCTGGCAGGTCCTGGTGCTTGCATTAGGCCACACACAGTGTATCCATCGAAGTCTTAAAAGCATCTTACGCAGACTAGAGTCGCTACTGGCCATGCACTTAACGTGATCAATACTCATTTGAAATAAGGAAACTACATACATACATGTATAAGATTACTCAAGTATTGTTTTTATAGGAAGTGGGTGGAGCTAAGAAGGTATGAAGTCCTAGAAAATCTTGTGGCAGAGATTACTGAAATATTACTGAAACTTTCATTCGATCTAGGAGATGGTTATTAATCAAAACGATTAATAGAAATGGTTTATGCTGTAAGAATCGATTCATTTGGGCATTATACATGAAGGAAAGTTTATCTGGGAATACATGTGAAGGAAAAGAGTTTTCAGTCCTCACACGACACTCCTTAAAATTGTGACATCTGTGACCTATTTCAAGCTAACTTTACTGATAATGTTGAGTCACTATGACTCATGAGAAGTCACTTGAGAGTCAGTGTGACCATTCATTATGGAATTACACATGACCCTTTATGAACAGGTAGGCATCAGCACTGGTATTTGATAACAAAATGTTATTGTGGCAACTGCTATTGCCCTCCTTATCCTATGTACCGGTACATATAACACTATTGCAACCATTCAGGGTAAATAACTGCATATAATACCAGTATAGTACAGTATGTTAATAATTTCTTGTACATGCTACTCGCTGGTAGGAAGAAAATGTGGGTATTAAAATTACATATGTATGTCAGTCCAATGAATATTCAAAGTGTACTAGTACCTGTGTGTAAATGTACCGGGTTGGATGGATTCAATTTACTCCAATTTCCATGTTAATTTGCTATGCTCATTTCAACGCTGCACATTTCAATGTTCACATCATTTTCAATCAATATCGCAGGCCTCATCAACTGGTATCATAGCACTTTCCTACATGTACGTGAGCCGGTAGGTCTGTAGCAAAAATAAGCCAGAATCGATCCATCTCAGCTCACTGCAATAAACAATAGCTTGCGGTTCTGATCAATAGTCGAGCGTGTCTAATTCACTTGATGACTTTGCATAATTAATTCTTGTACTACATGTACATGTATATGTGCGGATACAGAATCAGTCGATCTTAGAATTTCACACGTTCCAGTTCCAAATTTCAGCATATACGGTAAGCTTTGATGCCTTGAGCACCAGACCTTGTATACATGAACAAAAAGACATTCTTTGAAGGTGAATTGATACTGATACACAGGGAAGAGCATTTCAATTTCTGGTTGTCACGGCAACAGACTGATTTTTCAGTCCCTCATTCCCGTTGGAAGTGCGAAGACACCCAACGACAGTATAACGGCATCTCAAGAGGTTTGCTTGAATCGCTGCGCAAATGTGCAGAATGAGGTTGGGTTTGAAAAACAAGCGACCGCTAGACAGAAGAAAAAGAAGTCAATTTTCACCGTTCAAAAAGCTTACTGTGCTTCAAATTTTTTTTTATTGGGGGGTGAAGTCCAGGGACTTGCTGCAACTATTTGAAAAGCTTGAGGAATGGATCTCGGCACTGAGTTCGCACACTAATGCATCATTCAAAGGAGAGAAAATTCTTGATATCTGTATGAGGGAAATTCAAGAGATGTTTAGAAGTACACAATACAAATTGTAAATACATGTATGTTCACTCAATACTGGTGGCTTTTAAGCATTAAATGTACGAGTACATGTTTAACTGTATGCACCTAAGAGACAAGCAGCAATTTGGGCAAAAAAACATACAGTTGGTAGCAGCATTGAACAATCACAACACAAAAAACGTTGAAAGTAGCAAGCGATCACTGAAGTCATACAGACAAATGACACTGGCAGATGAATTATTAGCTTTTAAAATAATTTCTATGCAAAAGCAAACACTAGTACCAGCACATGTGTACCCTACTACATCCTCGTACATGTACGTATACAGGTACTGGTGTGCAGTATTCACAGCAAATAGAATCAAGGCTTGATTACCAACTGGAACACGACCAAAAGCAAAAATACCTACCGCTGATTTCTTCTTGCAACCGAAGAGACTGACCACGCATTCACATGGAAACCATGCATTGGATGATGGGTCCGGTGAATGCATGTCATGAGGTCCTCTCTGTTTGACATCGTACGCACCCCACATTGTGGTCAGTTTACTTGACCTTTGTAGACTGGCAATAAACCAAGGACCTTCCTGCTTGTCTTGTTTTTTTAACGTTGCTCAAGTTTGTAGAAGCACACAAGTCTGATGTGAATAATCCAATCACCTTACAGGTATAATGGTGAAATTGCAGAAACACGTATTACTTGAACTCTGACCCACTGACCCCTTAGACTGGTCAAACAATCAGAATTATTCTTAGAAGAGAATCGCCGTCCGGAAGTGAAGAAGTCTTGCTTGGACTAATAAGCAGTGCATCACATCAAGTTCAAGAAGACATGCATCCACCATCTGCTCTTTCTTAACAGATTTATCACAAGATTCTGTAATTTATCCTTTTAGGAATGTATCAGCAAGTGACATGCAATTATAATACAGGTCTATTGGCCTTGGCAGGTAGTCAGACGCAAATTGGTTTTATGACAACTGCGGGTTCCACGTGCACATGGATGGCCATAATCAGCTTTAGAGTGAGCTAATCTTCAAAGATGTCTTTGGAAAGAAGAAAGCTTCAACTCTGAGTCAACACAAATTGTTGTGATATTAATCACATGAGGTTTGCCAGTGACAAAGACAGTGGCTGTGCATAGCTGATATCAACAATGAAAAACACTGATGGTTTTTAGTATCCACACCTTGTGGATGCACGTCTGTCAGTTTGTCCTTGCTGAATAAGTGGGTAAATTATTTATTTCTAGTTTTTGAACAAGTAGTAAACATGGCTCATGTCGATACCAACACCTGTGGACGAAAACCCCACTCACGTGAGAGGACACAGCTTCATGGTCAGGTCCCAATTGGAATCAGATCCGGTTTAAGAATGCGATCATCTTGACAGATGCAATATCCATAAACGGTTCATTCACTGCTATACGAAACTGATGAAATCAACACCCAATCAACAACGAAAACTCCACACCTCTTCGGCGGACATAAATCCTGCAGAGGGGTGTCAATAGAAATGGATCCCCGTTTGACAACTGCATTTATGGCTTCATCCAAGTGTAATCCATAAATTACAGAGCTTTTAACTTGATCAGCAATGGAGACAGCTGACTGGTTACTAGACTAACCAAGCTAGAAACCTGTCCGTGTGGATGCGGTATTCATTGCGTAGGAGCACAAGCTGTAAGGGAGGAGACGAAGACTGAGGTTGATGAATACATACATGTACCGACCCATGTACACGTGATGACTCAGAAGGTAACCGCAACCCTCCCAACATGAAGGATGCAGGCAGGAATGGTTGCCGCATCTGTTAAAGGGAGGCATCAAGCTATTCTGCTCTGCAGCATCAGATGATAAGCTTGTTATATTGAAGAGCATCTCCTGTGCTCTCTCGCTACATCCAAACTGCAGTCGGCAAGGTAACAGCTGGCTGATGGAGATGCGGTGAATGCATCACCTACCAACCGTAAACTTGGTAAGACCGTAACAACAGCGAAGAAAAAAACAGAAGAGAAGGAAAATCACACAATACACGAGGGGCCTTCCGGGGTCTCTTCTATACACAGAGAAGCTGAGACTAGAACCGGCTGTTGTTTTAACAGATGCATGAGAACCAATACATTGACGGCAGTTGTTAGTAATTGGCAGACGGTTACGCCGCTAGTTGATTAATGAGGGTCTCCTGTATGATAGCATCACTGGCACTTGTTCTCAAAGCACCGTTATGATCTGGCTTTCTGTGTCTCTGCAAGGACATAAATGAAAAAGACTGACAGAGAGTTTAGCCACGATGGATACTGTCCGTGCCGTGGCGTGGCGATGTATTATCAAGGGCTATTGTGTTTGTGAGTCACCCTTATTCACGGCTGTATTGCTCGGGTCATTGATTGCAAGGGACTACCTTTGGGTCCCCTTGGAGACGGGTAATGCATCAAGGATGAAGGGAGACAAGGTTGGGAGCAGCAACAACGATGAAGGAAATGAATGGGAGTAACTTGCTTCAGAGAAGGTCACTCAGGCGACAGAGACTTGAGACAGAGAATACTGTAGGTGATATTTAAATCACTAATCAGTGATGACAGCATAATGACAAATCTGTAAGAAAAAGATCTGTTGGGACGATATGGCTCAGTCCAATCAAGAGCGAGATGCAACAAAAAATTAAACGATGGACAACAAACGTCCCTTTAGGCAATTAAAGTTTCGAGTTATGAAAGGACTCCACGTCACCAAACAGTTTATGCTCTCAGATTTCATAACGTGCCAATGTTTATATAAACAGAAAGTCAGTGGGATGGATGAAAGGTTTAATCATGAATTAAAGAAATGGTTAATAATATCATGAGAATATGCCAATTTAAGCACCCACACGCGAGTGTTTCTCAATGAGAACAAGTACAACACTTAAAAGTAATGACAAATGTTTGCAGTACATGTATAAAGGTAAAAGAAAATCTTTACTCACAAATCCTGCCA